CGAAAAATTCCTGATTAAAAATAAATGTATGTTAATTTATAACTATTTATTAATATTTACAGAATTTATTCATTTAATAATAGTTTCACTTAGTACTTAGACTTATTTTTAAGTTATAATAATACAATATTATGTGTCTTATACTGTGCACATCAATGATGTGAAAAAAAAAAGTCTTTACTATAGGCCTCATCTAAAAAAAATTGCCCTAGGCCTCGCTTTACCCTAAGGCCGGCTCTGCACATCATGTAAATAAATAAAAACAAAACGTTCAAATTTGGGAAACTATTTCAACACATAAGACAATTTCTMGGAGTCAGTTTCCTTAAAACGGAGTTGTTCGAGTGAAGGAGGTAAAGAAGACAAATTAGAAGGATATCTAATAAGCAGTCATAAAGTAAATTAATGGACACGCCGTATAAAGAAAACAGTGAAAAACAAATACTCGTCTGCGACACATATTTATTTTTCACTTTGCCAGACATTTTTCTCTCAATATAAGTGGACTATATAATTTATTTTATTTTATAAATATATAGACCACATATCATTTTTAWAGTATATACTTTCAAATAAAAATACCATCATTGATTGCAACATGAATTCTAAATTTAAAAATATTTTTTTTCCCAACGAGTGAATAGTCACACTATAAAATTTAAATAATAATTTTTTTATCACCATGAAATTAGCTAATTATAATTATAATTTTTTTTTTTATATTGATAGTACTAGATATATTAATTATTATAAAGATTTTCATACCTTTTGAAACAACTTTGCCGACGCTACCTAACAGTGTTGGTAACAGAGCGGCTAGTGCGATGGATTTGATAATCTGTGCTCCGATGATAATTGGCAGCAATAATTTCTTCAAGCCAAACGCCAAAAAACCCAATCCAAAACCGGTCAAAAACGAATTCTTGCCAAAGTTAAATCTTGCTATAAAATAAAATAATAATATTAATTCATACAACCGTGTGTCCGTTATTTTATTCTATAGCGATTGGATTTGATTTTTTTTTTTTGTATTTGCGTGCATATTATAATATACGCATAACAATATTAGCATTTAGCAGTATAAATACAGAGTTTAAATTAATCAATTGACTACAGTTTCTATAAATTATGTTGATGAGTTAACAGGTTATATAATGTCATAATATATTAAGTAAGTACACTTAGTTTTAATGCCAATAAGTGGGAAGTAAAATTTTTTTCAATATAATATAAGATCGAATGGTTTATAACTGAATTGTAGTTTATAACGGTAATATCGTATATTATATAAAAGGGCAACATGGATACGTCCACGAGCCACATGGATAAATACAATGATATCAAGAGTCAACATGTTTATGAATACATTTTATAATTTTTATAATTTTATCGTTAATAAGTAAATATTTTTAGTTAAGTTTTTTTTTATATAAGACGCTAGGTCGCATGTTGGCCACCCCGTTATATAATTTATACCTAGGCTAAATTACAGAACTTAAATTATTTTAATTCAGTTATATATTGATACATATATTACATAGTGCCTACATATATAATCTATACCCTATTTTTTTTTCAAATGTGATGTTTTTTGTTACATCACACACATCTCATAMAATGTATGAAAACTGTTTCAAATTTCCATAATTTTATTTTATTTTATTAGAATACACGGGATAAGCCCTTATATACATAGATAAAACAGGTAATATGGTTTACAATGCGAAAGCAAAAAAAATAATAATAATAGTAATAATAATATACATAGGTATGCAATTAAAGATATAGATACATGAARATGTTAAAGTRAATAGTAGTTATTAAGTAGCAATGGGATAATACAGTTTATGGGCATTTCAAAAATAATAAATATGACAGAGCTAACTAAAAGAGAAAGTGGGGTCCAAATTGGCATTATGCATCATACGCCTCATAGGCTCATTTAGTAAGTAAAAATTTATATAAACATCATACGAATTGTAATAATTTTTACCAATGGTAACCAAAACATACCCATAGTACCTTAGTAAGTTAATCATTACATTAATTATTATTAGTTATTAGTCATACATTATTATAATTATTAATGTAATGTTATTTTGTTAAAGTTATATATTTTCTAAGATAATGACCATCACGTAGAACAACGACATATTGTATATAATAATGATCTATTATGTATTAAGAATAAACGAATTCTCATCGTTCGTAATTTTAAATTTTAAGTAAATCGAAAAAGCAGAATAAGCATGGAAAACTTAATATTAAAATGTATGCTTTTGTTCTTTCTACACAAATCCACAATATTTACCAATAGGCACAATAAGAATCCATAGGAATGGCGTACTAAATACTAATATCATTTAGTAAAAAAAATCGCAAAAAGTTAAATAGGTGTGATTGTGGACATGTGACATAATATATACCACAATTCATGATTTGAAAACCTATTTCCAAAACCTTCCCTTAGTACTTCTATCATAATATATTAATTTCGAKACACACGATAAGTAATAATTGTATATCTTTATATTATATTATACTTACGAAGATGATGAAGTTTGAAGAACGTTCTACCGGAAGACTGGAACATCTCGGAAAAGTTAACGTCCAGAACATGCGTACCGATGAAATTGGCCATCCTGTCGATCAAGTACTTCTCGGGATCGTTATCACGGTCAGCCTGAGAAACGGCGGTAACGTTAGTGGTATCCTCGGCGGACCGCTTGACTCGGACGCCGGGCGCCAGCTGATACGAGTCGGCCGCGTCCAACATCCCATCCACCGTATCCATTAGCTGACCATGCCCGTCCTCTATCCCCGTCATCGTTGACTGAGTAGTCACAGCAGCAGACTCATCGGATCTGGCGACGGCCACTGTACAGCAGAGTGCAAAGGCTACCGACAGAACAGCCGTGCAAGTGTACCAATTCATCGTGGAACAGAAATATATAAGTATGTTGCTTTGTCAGCGTCGTCTTTGTTGTCGCTTTCGCACAGAAAATCGGTTGAAATGATTGGCGGGTCAGGCCGCAGTTGTCGTCATGTCGTCGTCAGCGGCACCGTTTGCTTGATGTATGTTGATGTCACTTGGTGATGGACCGCACTAATGACTCTGCGGACCAAAAACGAGAATAAATAATATGCCTTTTTTGTAACGACATCAATCGTTATAAATAACTTAAAATAATATAATCATAAAAAATATAGGAATTTGTTCGTATATAGGTATTTCGTACATTCAAAGATTGTCGATTTCTTTCACCATGATTTACCGATTTAAAGCCGTGCCAGGTTCCTTGCATAGTATTACAATAAAGATATTTAAAAAAATATATCAGATATGTTACACGTGTTAATGCGTATTAAGTATTTCAGAAGACTAAAAATAAAATAGTTTTCAAAAATCGATACGGATATGCATTTAATATTAACCTATGCGTGGCAGTTTAACTACCGTAGGTTTTTTGAAGTATCGAAACGTTTTCGGGAATACGCCCGAACACCTAATAGTATACACAGATGAAAGCCCAGGCATGCGGATAAGGCATTAAGACGGTACCTATATAAACTGTGATGTAGGACAGTGATRCTAATTATTAATCCAAGTGACGCGTATACCTTCGTCGCCATGTCAGCATTATAATGATATACGTTTAGATAGAAATCTTACCTACGTGGGCATGGAGGCGCGCAAGTAGCGGTTTGCGAAAATCATTAAATGACAAGGGGCAATACTGTATGRGTATAYCTGCGCGCGTTTATGTTATGCCGCTGCAGTATAACGCGATGACTTCAAGTCCAAAATTCGTCACATTGTATCGTTTTTCGTATTACAATAATAATGTTATATACGTAGGGTTGAACTTGAAATAAAGATCGCGCGACTAAACTATACATGCCTACTTATACGACGTGTTTCATATTCGTGTTTCGTATTCGACACGCGTCTGACGGTGTAAGTTACTTTCTCGTAGTCCGGAGTAAGGTCTAGGTCAACGCCTAGACTAGGTCGCGAGACCTTTCACTGGTTTTAATTCGTTTGTAATAACGTAAATCGACAGTGGTGGCGGCAATAATCATTGAGATTCCCAAAACAATAGCAGGGAAGATGAGCACAAAATAAKATTTCCTCTTAATTCTCATTTTTAATTGCTACCGGATATCGTTCGGAGTTATAATAAATGCGGCCGCGATGCAATAAACGACGACTTTCGGCACTGCACGTGTATAGTGTGACGATAACCYGTCCTGAAACTTACATATAATATGCGTTTTATACATAGGATTTCTGGTACATATTTTCAAGTACAGCGTTTTAGTTTACAACGCACTTGAAGGCGGGTTTCCACTACACATGTTCGCTCAAATGCTTTTTTGTGATTAGTT